ACATTACAGAGTGTGTCAAATACGTTTCTTTCACATAAGCCTTCCTTAGTTTTATTAAAAGTTTAAACTCACATGAAACAGATTACCAGGAAGCCTCCATCTACCACTGGCACAAATCTCAGGTTTTTTTTTTAAATACAATTAGAAGCGTTACTGCTCTCACAAAACAGTGCAAAATCCCAAGTGTGTACACTTTCACAATACTGTACTGTTTACAGATTTCTGTTACCAAAATTATTTGCTCATATGAGATACTGATATGTATGTGTGCAAGAAATATAAAGAAAATAAATGATGTCACATAAATCCCTGTATACTATTAAGCTGTGATATTTCCTTATGTAAGAAGCTAACAATTATGCACACACATACACACTAGCAACAAAATTAAATTGCATGGACTAACTCAATGCTATTGAATCATATGATTTGTAGTTTGGTACAGAAGGTTAAAGCCCTTATAAAATTGTAGTTTCTGTGATTCCATAGTATTATGCCATAGCAGTTTGAAGTGGTGTCAAACTGCATTAATTCTACAGTCTACTGTAGATTCACCCCAAGCATCCCTTTGAAAGCGGATGGGCATATGTGAAACTTCAGTAGGCAAACCAGTAGGATAGAACATCCAAAGTTGCTTTTGTCAACTTACTCAAATCTCTCTCTTTATCTTCACTATCAAGGCAATTCTAAGAGCTACAAAATTACAACAAATATGTAGTCCCTGTAAGGAAAAGGTAAGGGACATATTTTTTTCCGATTAGATTTATTTTTTAACAAGTCATCATAGCAATTAATTAATCTGGCAATAAACACTCTGATAGATTACATTCTCCTAAGAGGAAACAAAACTAGGTTATAAATGTTTGCCTTAACTATATATTATAAGGACCTCATCACACATGGTCTGGGCTCTGTCTTAGGGCACTTCCTGGATGGAGCCCTCCGGAGTCCACCACATGACACTGGACTACTTCTGGCGGGGCTCCATCCTGGCTCCAACCAGGAAGTGTCTCATAAAGTAAGTCTGGAAAAGCTCAGGGGCAAAGTGTGGGATGGCGAAGTGGGCAATACAGGGCACAAGTTTTTCCTGCTGACCCAGGGATGCTCCCCCAGCTTGAGGACTTCAATGTGATAAGGTCTTAAAAAGGCCATATGATTGGAAAACAATCTATCCAACATTCTTCTTTTCTTTCCTGCCATCGCTTTCCACTGGAGATTTTGGAAAGTTTTTGCAGTGTGCTGATGTTTGTACTGTTGCCGTTTCATACTAAACTATTCCTTATGATGCCCATGATTAGCAACCACACTGTGTTTCAGTTTCCAATATGTACAACAGGCAAAGTATGTTTGTGTCTCCCCAGTAATAAACATTGAAAGTTCAATCCTGCCTCCATCATTCAGCAACCTCTCAAGGCTGGTATGTGAATGGCTTATGATTTTAGTTGTAATGGAAAACACCAATATGGAATATAAAATGATGTTGAGGTGGGGTGAGCGAATGGTTTAGGGTTCAGAAATATTGAAAATATAAACAGCTAACTGGTTATTTCAAGTTACATAGAATGTTGCTTAGTCTGATTGTTCTACTTGTAGTTATGTGACCTACGTTTATACTTCTGAAATGCGGGCTTTCTTCCTTCTAGTGGAACACCAGGCATCATATAAAGAATACATATTAATTGCTCATGCATAATGTGGGCAGCCGACATAAGGGATAGATCCACATCCATGGCTCAGGTTATATCTTAATCAGGTCTGCCTTGTACATTTTAGAGCAGCTCTGGTCGAGGGCCTATTTTTTGTCTTCAGAGCCTTTGAGGGGTGGGGTGGGGCTGCAGATTACTAAAAATGCCTTCCTCCCACCTGAAGTTGGAGACAACTCAATTTCTGAAGTTAGGAACTGTGTATCTTTTAATGTTAAACCTTTTCTGCAAGTTTCCAGGAGAAGCAATTCATTTATTTCCCAGAAAAAAATGCAATCTGGAAGGTGAAAAGTAGCCCCAGGGCTCCACTTTCCACTCGGTTCTAGAGCTTTGCTTCTTCTGATGTTCATCTATATAAGAAGTTCACCCATTACAGAAAGCTGTATAGATAATATAAATACTAAAAATCAAATGTGTTGCATTGTTCTTGGGCAGAAAGCAGTCTAGAACCAAGTGTCTACAATATGTAGACTGGAAAGAAAAAAAAACCACAATGCATGCTTATTCTGAGATGCACTTTGCTGCAAGGCTTCAGAGTACCAGTGGTCATGCATCAGAAATGTGTGCCCCCCTCCATCTGCCCTCATGTATCTAAACCCCAAAGGGGTTTCCAACTGCATGATTGTGAGTGGTTTTTCTCTTTGGAAAGGAAAAATAAGGAATCCAAGTGGTTTCTCTACAAACTATATTTTATATTACAAAATGTGGTTTTGAGGCACAGCAGACAGCTCTATTGTTTCATACAGTAAAGAATGAGGCCATTTTTCCACAGCAGGAAAAGTGGACTTGTTTTTGTTTTTACATTACCTGTGTATTCCTGGCAATGCAGGGGTGCACTGGTTTCATTACATTTAGCAGAATCACCTGCTGGTAGCAGTTAGCTCTTAACTGATGCTACCATGGCATGGCCATCAATGGCAAGCAGAGTAAAGAGGGGGATGGGGGACAACCAAACAGACCCTACTTATTTTCAAAAGAAATAGGGAAATGAACGTCTACAATAGACCATCTTTGTGCTGATATTGATAAGTCCCCTCTTGTTATCTGAAAGGAAAAACAACTGGGATTTTTAAAAGACTGTAGTGTTCCTTAAGAAAAAGCACTACAGACTGCTCATAGTGCATCAACATTTTGTCTCTGATTTACTACTATTACTTCTATTTCTTCTTGGAAGAATACTTATTGCATTGCATTGTATGACTTTAAGTATCTCCTATTATTCCACCAAAGTAAAGTGAGACTCTAAGCGGCTTACAAAATGACATGAAATATGAACTATAAAAAGGTAGTAAAATTATGTTTAAAATGCAATTAACAATGCATATAGAATTTAAAAACATTTGAAAGATGGGTGAATGGCCAGGCAGGCATATTGTCTACCTCTCAGAAGATTAAAATGGTTTTGGTCTCTAGGAAATCCCTATCAGCATAAAACAGTTGGCTGTTAAGAGCCTCTTCAAATAAAAATAATAAATAAAAACAGTGTTTAGTGGCAGTGGAAGGAGAGATTCCCTGTAGGCTTCCTAGGTAGGAAGTCTTCAGCTGGAAGCAGCTACCAAGAAGATCTTCTCTCACAACCCCACCAGATGTAATGAGGAGAAAGGCCATAGAGAGCAATCCCCCCACTTTTCATATTATTCAATAGACTGTATAGACTGTTCTCCTCCTTCTGTGGCAAAATGAAAAAAAACAAGAAAGCTGCTCATGGTGACTATGGTAGAAAAAACAATAAAGCAATGTTGAGCAAGATCCAGGTGGCATATTTTAGCTCTAACCCCAGCATGCTATTGCAAAGTTTCTCGCCTCAACCAAACTTCGCAAGCACGCTTGGCAGGGACGAGGGACAGGGCCTTCTCTGTGGTGGCCCCTTGGCTGTGAAACTCCGTACATAGGGATATTAGATCTGCTCCCTTCCTCCTGACTTTTCGGAAGAGAGAAAAAACCTGGCTCTTCGAGCAAGCATTCGGAACCCCGGAATAAATAGTCAAGCTTGAGATGGAGAATGACCCAGGAATGGCCAAGACGATGAAACGGATGAGGATTGGAATGAGAGGATATAGCTCTTTTTAAATTGTTATTGCACTGTCTTTTTTGTCTAAATGCACTTAATTGTTTTTGCTTTTTGAATGTATGTATTGATGGCGTCGAATTGTGCCGATATGTATACTGCCCTGAGTCGCCTGCGGGCTGATATGGGCGGGATATAAATAATGTAAATAAATAAATAAATAAATACCCTATGAAAATCTACAAACAGTTCTGGAGGCTAACAAATTTCATGATTAAGTTGTAGATATAAGCAATATAATGGTGAATTGGTAGATACAGGAGAGAACTACCAGCAGGCTTTTAATGTAGATTTGTAATTCTGAAGCAACAGTTGTGGATTTAAAGTTGATTTAAACCAAGAAACAGCTACTAGAAACATGGAACATATAAGTCATATTCTACTGTTATGTCCAATGGATTTATATGAAAACTGCCCAGAAGAAAACAAGAGGTATGGAAAAGTAGCAATTCTACTGTTCCTATCAAGCATCAATTCTATATGTAATAAGTATCTATGACTTAATTACAAAAGAATGTTTCAGAATACCAAATGATATGTGCTTATATTTTCAAAAACACATATGATGCGCTCTACCGGACAGCTCCATACAATCTAACACTACTAACATGTGCTGGAACCCTTGCAAATACAGTATGCCCTGGCCAGTAAAGCAACTTTATATGGGAATTTTCCTTGGCAGTGGAGAGAGGTCTGCATCAAACTACAGGGGCTCAATTGGTATAATTAGAATTTAATTTTAGCAGTGTTGACTTTACTCATTAATTACTCATTTGACACAGTTTAATTTTGCATGAAAGTTTGCCAGTCTATAGTCAATAAAAGCAGGCTAAAATTACAAAATCAATTAAATCAAAAGGTTATATTATGAATCAAGCCTCTACACTACATCTAAGGTCTGTTAAAACTTACATAATACGATATATGTACATGATGGTTAGCAGATGACTGTCATGAACCTTTCTGTATAAGATCCACATATGCCACATGGAAGAACTGGATTGAATGGGTTCTTTTGGCAGCCTCCATTAAATGTTCTGCTATACAGGCTTGACTGAGGACAATGGCATTGCTATGGCATGCGGATATACAGTGGACATTTTTGAAGGGAAGCTAATGACATCGGGAGGTATTTCAACTTGTTCTGGAGAAAATCATGCTTAAGTATTTGAAATGCAAACATATCTGTGTGTGTATATATACAGATAGATATGTATGTATATTCTTACTTTAGAAAAGACTGGAAATCTTCGCATACCGCTTCACAGCCTGGCCATTTGCATACTCCGTGCCCGTAAAGTGGATGGCTATGAGAGTGCTCTTCGTGAGATAAACTAAAGGAATGAAGGAAGAAAAAAAAGTTAAAAAGCATTATAATGTGATGCTTTGAATGAATTTGTCTCGCTGTGGTGCTGAAAGCAAAACAAATAGGTATAATACATAAACAAAATGAAATACCCAGGAACAAACAAGTCATTTTGTTTCATGAAGCCCTCCTTTGAGCTTTACGACAGAACAGTCACAAGCCTTGCAGGGATTGCAGCTGGCAGGTTGTGTGTGTCTGATTAATTAATTAGAAGTTTTGTAAAGAACTGGAATAAACAGAGAACGTGAATGTTGGGAACATTTGACAGTGTGGCTTGATGTTCTACTTGATACAAAAAATATTTGAACACGGTATATTTACATGAAATACACTGGGTTGGAAAACTACACTTGCATTCTGACTATAGCAATTCAACACCTTAATCAATTTTCAGGATTGTTTAAGATGTTGAATTGCTATAGTTAGTATGCAAATAATTATTTAGAAAGTAAGAAAACAAAAGATACATACATTTCTGCATTGCTTCCTCTCTAATATTAAGGCTTTCTTTGTAGCATTACCCATACTTCGCAGTAAAATATTTCCCACTACAAAATTAACATTAAATTAATCATTAACAGTTAAATTTTGGAACAATGTTTTATATTATTCAAAAATACAGTTTTAAAACTGTATGTTTGTGAGTATCAGAGAGATAACCTTCTGATCACAAAAGGGTTAAATCTCTAGCAGGTTTCCAATCAATATGTAATGATTTGGCTGCACTGATCCAAGTCACGAGATGCTTTGATCCAGGCCATGTGGCGTTCAGGGAAATGTATCTGTTGCATTAACTGATGAACTGTGTTCCAAAATATCTTTACTTCACTTCTGCACAAAAACTTCTTAAGCAACAACATTATTTTATCTGATAATTTCCATAACCATCCGTGATTTGTTTTTATAAACATGAGACATCCAAGTTATTGCTGTTTCAATTTTTAAGTTTTTAATGTATATCTTGATTTTATTATTGTTTGTTTGATAAGGCATCAAATTGTTACCTATTGTAGGGTCGCTCTGAGTCCCCTTCGGGGTTGAAAAGGGCGGGATACAAGTACGGAAAATAATTTTAAAAATTGTTCTAAATACAATTCTTGCCTTCATTATTGTATTAAAGAAAGACATATATTTTTAAAAACTGAACTAAAATCTTTTCTGTAACAAACTTCAGAATAAAAAAGGTATTAAAGTAATATATATGCACAAGGCTTTGAGAAATTTTAATTGCAAGTAGTTTAAAACCCAGGTTTTTTCAGTTATATTCAATACATATGAACGTGTTAAAACATGAGTGTAAACAGTTATTATATTTTTGTTTCCAGAGAACAATAATATTAGTACTGTGCTATTTTTATTGGGCAGAATTCTGCTGGAATTTTACATAGCAAAACATCATAGTTCAATAAATATAAGGCAGACACATTCTTAATTTGTTGCTACAAGTTAAGTGAGGCAAATGAAATTTGTTCTATATACAAAATACAAAGCACTAAGATGGAACACTTTGCTTGAAACAAAATCTCACAGAGAAAAAGACAATGTATTAGAATTGCATATTAGAAACAGACAGAAAGATACGATAACTACCACTCTTCAGATGCACAAGTTGATCTCAGGGTATGGATTCGCGTATTTTGTGCAAGTGCCCTTTACACCATGCATATATAAATTGGGAGGCTTTTATGTGTTCATTTTCTGATCAGCTTGCACTCAGCAAAACAAACCACACTTTTCACGTGCTGCCGCAAATCTTCATTTTATGATAGTGAAGATGAACTTGTCTAGGAGATGCTTGTATCTGAAGTAGTACACTGGCTATCTTCATCAACTTAAATTCAAATAATTGGCAGCTCATCCCTCAACTACTGCAGATGCTTATCTGTCTGCAATCTTAGGATAAAATAGGTCTCACTTTATTTGTGACTATTATCCTGCCATATTTACAAGTGTGACCGACTCCAAGACGAGAGACATGCTGTCTCAGTAATTTTAAAAATGCTTCCTCGAATGTGTACAATTTAAATCTTATTCTCTTTTTCTGTTACACACAGACTCCTATCATAGTTAGAAAGACTCCCAAATATGAAGCCATCACATTCACAATTTTGTTCTTCACCTTATTAATTACATAGAACCATAAATATGGACAGTACATTGCAAAGTGCAAAAAGAGAGGACTGGTTTCCAGAAGGCTGACAGTCTACAGTCTAGCATGGGAAAGAAAAAGGAGAAAACGAAGGGGGTAACAAAGGCAAAGTATAAAGGGAAAATAAATGGATATTTCAGTTAAATATACTTGGCTTATCCAGATCACGGTATTTTTATACTAATTATATTTTTAAGAATCCAAGAGCTAGGGACAAGCATATGAAATCAATAAAACACAACATAGTAACATAAAAACCCATAACAGGCAACAAAGAATTGAATCTATGGGGCTATATAAGACTACACATTTTGTTAATTTTGGAGAAGCCAGTGTAGTGTAATACACTGCAGAGAATGTCAGACCTCGATTGAATGACTGGTCCTGGCCCAGTCACCTTCCTTCCATTTTGTTTGAAGAGTAATATGTATTATCAATTTGAGTCCCAGGCAGGGTGGATACCCATACATATGAATGGAAGTATCATCTATTACCAACTATAGGGATTCAATTAATCGTTTTAGGCTGAGATTTAACATTATGCCAGTGACTTCTTGTTTGCACTCAAGCTCCAAATTCCTAGACATCTACAGTTGTTAAGGGCCATATAGATGCATTGTGATGGCATTACAGGTGTAATGATATCCCATACAGTGGTTAGGTCCTGCTTTCCCACTGCTTTGGAGCTGGATGGCTGATACCAGCAGAGTCGGGTATAAATGATGAACACTACATCCCACAAATAGCATGGAAGTTTGATCTGGAGTAAAAAAATAAAACGTGTATGGCCTGTATGCATCTACTAACTCTGAAAGTAACATGGAATCTATTTCTTCCATTCAACAGCCCTAATGTAGGGCTGTGATTACTGCCCTACAATGACATGAAGCAGGATGTTGGAGCTAAGCAATTAAGAAGAGAGTAGTAGGCAGTCATAGAAAGCCTCCAATGAGTGCCTTGGACTAGAAAACACACTAGCGGTACATCCAATTTTTAAAACATATTTGTTACAGAAGCTATATGAAGCACAATAAGTGAAGGCCAACTATCTCTTTTTCAAGGAAAAGATATGATTAAGAGGAAAGAACCATAACAACAAATTGCATTGCATGCTCTTTTTTTTTGTCTTACTATCAAAATGTGAGTCAGCTCAAGTCACATATAAATATACTTGTGTGGACTTGTGCTTAGAAAAATAAAGTGTGAATTTCAAGAAATTGGTTTTTTTTTATGTAAATGATAGGTTTACTTAGAAAAAAGCTGAAGGAGGACAGAGGAAGGGAGAAAAAAAACAAATGGGAGTTAACAATAGTACCAATACATTTTGTCTTCAATTCAAGTATAAGCAGTCCCTGAGTTACAAACATCTAACTTACAAATAACTCATAGTTAAGAACAGGTGAGACAACAAGTGAGAAATAATCTATTCCTCAGAAGAGAAATGTGCTCATGAAGAGTTATCATGGGAAAAGGGGGTCTCCGCTGAAGCTTTATCAGCAACCCTTGTTTCCACAACAAACCATTTTTTTCAAAATCCAATAATCACAGGGACAGAAAGTGAGGTTAAATCTTATGAACAGGGGCACATTCTCCAAAACAAACACCACAGGGTGTTAACCCTTCCCTATGCTATCCAAAGCATGTATGTGTATGTGTGTGTATGTATGTATGCATGGATGTGTGTATGTGTATATATATGTTTATGTATGTGCCTGTACTGACTTACACACAAATTCAGTTTAAGAACAAATCTAAAAAAAACCTATCTTGTTTGTAACTTGGGGACTACTTATATATATTAAAGACAGAAGCTCTCCTTTAGGGTTGGTTTCACTACAGGGTATTTAAAATAAATGTTACATCATGCCCAGCTCAATGAATTAAGTCACCGTGGGGGTGTTGTTGTTATTAACTTTCTCAACACTGTCTACAGCAGTGGTTCCCAACCTGTGGTCTATGGACCACCAGTGGTCCATAAGAACTAAAATATGGTCTGCCGCCTCACAGTTACTACAGTGTTGCAACGAGAGTGGCTGGTTTCGCAAAAACCCTCTTATAGTGCTGAGGTTTAAAAAATGTATCAGAAGAAAAATCTATAGAAATGAGATGTTCTGCCAGATCTACAAGAAACTCTAAAGGTTGAGTCAAAATTAATCTTGAGTTTCTGTAGTATAAAATAAATTGGTGTAACGTTAGCAAAATTCAATGGTGAACTTAAAATTTAAAAGTAAAGCAGATAGTCAAAAGTATACACATTTCTTCCTACCATGATTATCACTGGACAGGAAAATCATATTGTGTGAAGCTGCTATAAACCTCTAAAGAAAAGCATGGTCATAATGAATGAGAACCACTCTCTATGTGTTGTATCCAGGAAATAAAGAAATACACTTGTTCATAGGCACTGCTGGGAATGCTCTAGCTGGAGATCTTGCATTGAGCAGAGGGTTAGACCCGTTGGCCTACAGAGCCCCTTCCACTCTTATGATTCTATGAAAATACTACACGAGATTGAGTGAGAAGAAGAATAAATCCTCAATTATCTCATCTTTGGATGCAAGGATAAATAATTACTGGAGTTTTCCCCTAATGTGGGAAAACCCCCAAATATTTATGCAGTTTTCATTCCATATTTGAATGTCTCAAGGCACTACAGAGTATTTTAATACATAGAAAAACAGGAAAATGAGAATGGCAAATAGTGAAAACACAATTCCCACCACTCCAACATTGCAAATACAATGAATGGAATGTTGACAAACCTAAAATCTACTCTGTCTATAATATCTACCTTGTCCTATGAAAAATAATGTGAAATA